AACATTTGAGGTTGACAAGGTCCCTCATGTGATATTTCTAACCACCTACTCCGACGCTCGTGACTGTCTCACCTTTAGCTGTATTTGTCTTGCAATTGGTTTGATTTGGACTTTTATATATGTTGCAGGATCGGTTGATCGTCCTATATGAGTTGTAGAGGAATCTACCTTTGTCCTCTATCCTCTCGAGAGTTTGAATGGCTAATAGTTTCTCATCGATTTTTTGAAGAGTTCGGATGTTGGCCCAAAGAGGTAACGCTAAAAAATTTCCCTTACTTTTTCGTACTGATCATGTTTTCCTTTTGTTTGCAGAAAATTTTGAAAGGAGGAAGTACCTGTCTCCAGACATGGCTTCCATCCCAGCTGCCATCTCCACGGTTGGGAAGAAGGAGTTCAAGTTCTCGTCTGCTGCCAAGCTAGTGAGGGACAAAGTGGAGAATGTCGATAAGGAAGCTGTTGACCATGAAGGTGATGGACAACCCCTCCAAAGGACAAGGGAAAGAACAAGGTGGAAAATGTTCTGAATTTTTTTTTTACATTCACTTATACTGATGTCGAACGACACCTCAATTGCTTTAGGCGCAGCACCTTTCCGAACGAAGCTCTCTTTGTCAAAGAGGAGCGATGAATTGGCTCTGGAGGCACTGTCCATGCTACCTTCAAAAGTCCATGATTCAATGTGATTGCATATTAGTCATCAATTATTAACAACTCAATCAAAGTAAGATGATCTAAAGTCAAGTAAATAAGCTAAAGAATATCGAGAATGTATTTTAAGTGTAAAGAATTGCATTAGATTTATACGTTACAAGAGTTGCTATTTATAGAATTCTGGTCGAAGTAGTAATCGTTGGAACCACGTAGCCCCATCTCCCAAGTTGAAACATTACATCACTATTCTGTTACGCATTTAGTACATTGATAATGGGTTAGCGACCCCACGTCGCTGGTTTTTAGTTATTGTTAATGGGGAGTAAAAAAGGTCTTTTCAACTCCAGCATTATTTGCTGTTACGACTAAAAAAGGCCATCACAAATTTCTCTATTTGGTTGTGAGAAAGTGGTTTCACATCTCTGTGAGAAAGTGTAATTTATAAACTATGTCATTTTTAGTATTCTCGTAATATTATTTTATATTCTTATCATCACTAAATTCATGATCAAAAACTCTAAGATCGACATCAATTAAAATGTGCCTACACTAAACGAATTTCCTAGATCCGTCCCTGATCTCATGGGCATGAGTCGATCAGAAATACCATTTTAGCATTAGTATGTAGCTAGGTGGACATCAAATCAGTTCATTCTATAATTTTTGTTCTTTCATTGTTATTGGAACCTCATGAATTAATTGTCATATAAGATTATATTTAGGGGCAGAGTCACATGGGGGGTCATGCGGGCCAATGGCCCCACATTTTCATTTTATTTATTTTCATTCTTTCCCTCCTTCCAAATTATCTGTTACATTTAATTTCCATATCCACTCCTATTATAGGTCTATCAGAAGTGAACGTTGTTTGGGGTGTGACAGTAGTAATAACTAAAAATCAAGTGGAGGAATGGCCACTAGTGTAGTTGGATATATGACTATTCATGGAGACCACCTTCTGGATTATTATTTAAGTTCTTAGTTCTTACATGCCCTGACCGGCAACTTGAGATATCAGCCTTTTCGGAATTGTAAACTCGGATATTTTAAAAGATAACATTTAACCAACATAGAAATGTCACAACAGTTTTTTTAATTCTTATGTCAAATAAATAACTTTTATAAAAAAAATTTATTTTACGTGAATCAAAATGACGTACATGACATTTGTGTAGTCGTATACCCCATAGCCGACTATTGTATATGATATATGAGAACCATATTTCATTTTGTTGATCAATTTGCGACGAGTATGTTATATTTAAACAGTTATGGCTCACAAGTTTTTAGTAAAATAAATGAATTGATATTTTTTTTTATTCATAAGGTCCTCTAGGGAAATTGGATCTTTTTATTTTATTAAAAATTATTAATTCGTGAGAGTTTGCATTACACGACACGAATTGCCCACGTGACTTCTAGATTATTTAGTGCTTGAGCCTCGGCAGTAGAGGTGTTTGCAGTGGCAGCCCGTCATGGGCAATTTAAAGACGAGTGTTGTATTTGTCCAACGTAATAAATAAGTCAAATTTAGTATTAAATTCATTCGAATCCACGATACAGAGTTCATTGCAATTCAGCAGTTAACAATTTGGTCAGTTGGTACAAATTCCAATAACCAAATTACTTTGACTAATGTCATCTATTATAAGTAAGGGTAAATAGCACAGAACGTCTTTACCTTTCAATAACATTGTACAAAATGTCCTTATCTTTTTTTTTTTTGGCATTTTCACCCATACCTTCCACCTTTCATTGCGCAAATGTCATTTTCAACCATTTTTTTAAAATAAAATGACGATTTTATCATTCTATTCAAATGAACAAAAAGAAAAGAAAAGAAAAATAAACAACTAATTGCAATTATAGTCCTAAATTTTTCAAAATATTACAGATAAGTCATAAATTCTCCACCACTACCAGTTTCACAACCCCACCAAGTCGCCACCTATAGATCCACATAGCACCACCTTCTGGCCACTACGCTCGCCGGACTCCACCACGACCACTAGCCTCGCTTCATTCTCCGCAACATCTTCTCGCACAGTATTGGTCACAAAATCTGTCGAAAACAGACACGTTTGCAGCCTAAAATGCCAAACAGCCATATACAACCCTTCATAGCAACCCCACTTTCGGCGCCACCCACGGTCGCGCACCACCACCAACGATTACCCCTCACCTCGACGAACCTATACATGGCCTCACATCAATCAAACAAGCCTCGAATCATTATACTGTAATCTAGATATTTGACAGCGGCGACGTCCATTTTGCCCAACTCCTCTTCTTCAATTCATGCATCCCACAACACTAAATCTCCAAATTGGCATCAATCGAACCATCAACAAACCCAAACGACAATGGATATGAATCTAATTGAACCAATTATCCCCCCAACTGTTTCAATTTTTGGTCCAAAAATCTCCACGGGCACGATGCACGGAGAGAGATGTTTGACCAAAATTGGTAGGTCCTAAGTGCCAAATTCGTGTGGGGGAGGACGGCGGGGGAGTGAAGCGAGATTGGTGGTGGTGGAGTTCGGTGGGTGTGGTGGTCGAAAGGTGGTGCTATGTGGATCTATAGGTGGCGACTTGATACGTTGTGAAAGTGTTGGTGGTGGAGATTTCTTTGTAATTTTTTAAAAAATTTATAGACTATAGTTGTAGTTAGTTATTCATCTTTTTCTTTCTGTTTTATTTGAATAGGAGGGTAAAATCGTCTTTTATTGAAAAAATGGTTGAAAATAACCTTTTGCGCAATGAAATGTGGAAGGTAGATGTGAAAATGCCAAAAGATGAAAGGTAGAGACGTTTTGCACAACGGCATTGAAAGATAGAGATGTTCTGTACTATTTACCCTATCAATAATAATAATAATCATTAATCTAGCTGACGCTGAACTCATAATAAATGACATTATTCTATTCCGTTTGGTAATATTTCTAAGCAATTGTAAAATGTGAATCTTATAGAGCACATGCATAATAATCGAATAGTTAGTTGTGAATTTTACGAAAATTGTTAATAAAAAGTATGTTTGACCATTTTAAAATTTAATTATTTCATTGTATTTATGTTTCATAATAATAGTGTTCAACACCAATCTTTGTTTAAATAAAAATTGAATGTCTGCACATGTTGACACGTAAAATAATGAAAGACCACTTATGTGAAATAGCATAGTTCACTTCAATTTAAAACTCTATACTATGAGGTAATGATTTTTATTTAATTTAAAAGAAAATTTTCAATTTAATTACCTCATTGCCTCGATATTTCATGGGCAAACCATCAAATTCGTGTATATTCGCTTGAGACGAGGTTCTATACTTTGATAATTAGAAGAACAAGGAAAGAATGATTACAAGGTGTATGGATAGGTTACATAATTAGTGTTTTTTTTTTTTTACATTGTTCTTTCCAACCTTAAGTTTTTCTCTTTTACAAATTTGTACTATGTCCATTATTATTAATAGAAATGAGATGAAAGGAGTCTCAAAGCAATGTAAAATACTTTATAGATGATTAAATTGAAAAAAATTAAATTTCGGTGACCAAAACTTGAACACCCCACTCTCTCAAAAAATAAAAAATAACCACACACACCCCCCCTCAATATATTTACATTGGCGGATTCACATAGACATTTTTTTTTAAAATAAAAATCACTCTAGGTGGTATATTTTATCAATAACGAAAAAAAACATGATACAGCCTTAGAAGGAGGCTTAGATCTTCAATTAAAATATCAAAAATTAAATAAATTCACTCAATCCTAAGACGGAGATTACAATAATGTAAAAGCAAATGAACTACACTTCATGCGTCAAGTCATACTACTCGTTATCATACGTCGAGTATATTGCTTTTTCTAATAATGACGACTTTTATACTCGTGGCTTAAAGGAGTTTGTATAAATTTATTATTGTATCTGTAATTTTGAAAGTCCATATCTTTCCATTCATAAAGCATTTCTGGCATATTCCCGTGTCCTAGAATAAAATATTCAATAAAGCTATTTGTACAAAATTGAGTTACAAAGTGTGTTGGCAAAATTCAAATCGTTGATTTCAAATTATTGAAAAATCTATTTTTAAAATGATTGGTGTAGATGTTATTTTGTCAACCAATTTTGTAATCCAACTCTGTACATGTAGCATAACTATAAAATATTTTACCAATATTACTGAGAGCATTTCAACTAGTCACATGGACCTAAATCAAAAGTTTCAATTCGATTTTATTATTTGATTGTTGTTTTATTGATCCAGCCAATCGTATAATATATTCAAATTCAAATAGAGAAACAAAAAGGAAAATCTGCCTTGAAGAGCGAACTTAATAGTATGGTCCCGACTCCAACCTATTTCTGTTGTGAATGCAAGAAGACAATACAGGTTACAGCCTACATTTTCAAATTTTCAGTCCGGCACACGGAGACAAAATGCCATGCAGATAGGTTCTTCCACACGTGGACGTGGTTTCATCCCTTCCCTCCACATGTACAAAAGCCACTTGCACTTGTCAAATTTGAATACCACTACCCAAAACTGTAAGTCCATGTTTGGTAGAAATTAAAATCAGATTTTTAATAGATTTTGATAATAGTTGACGAAATGTGTGGTTGAAAAATTGTGAGTTTCATGAAATGTGTGGTTAAAATTAATTGTTGACTTTGATTTGAAATTTTAATTCAAGCCAAACAGGGTCTAAATGTTGTGGGGTGGGGTATAGGGTAGGGGTGCAGCACCATCTATATATTGTGACCTATACCCCCTTTCATTTTTCCATTAAAAAACTAGCTCCAACTTAGCAGACACGGAGATTAAGGTTTGGTTAGTTTCCTAGGTTTTGGACATTATAAGGTTGGGTTACCATGTACTAAATTGTTTATATTGATTTTTTGTTTGTACAGAAGAAAATGTCACTAGTTATAAGGGTGTTTTTCATTCTTGCTTTGTTCTCACTTGCTCATGGCAATGAAGAGGGATGGATTGATGCTCATGCCACTTTCTATGGAGGTGGTGACGCTTCTGGAACAATGGGTACAACCCTTTATCTTTCTAGTTTTATTATACAATCCTCTTCGATTCACAGTTTCTGACGACTTGAAATCTTGCAGGCGGGGCTTGTGGTTATGGAAATTTATACAGCCTAGGGTACGGGACCGGCACGGCAGCGTTGAGCACAGTACTCTTCAACAATGGGCAGAGTTGTGGGGCTTGTTTTGAGATTAAATGTGTGAATGACCAAAATTGGTGCCTCCCAGGCTCAATTGTGGTCACTGCCACCAATTTTTGCCCTCCAAATTATGCACTGGCAAATAATGCTGGCGGGTGGTGCAACCCACCTAACCATCATTTTGACCTCTCTCAGCCTGTCTTCCAAAAAATTGCTCAATACAAAGCTGGCATTGTTCCTGTTAGTTACAGAAGGTATATGCACTTTAAGAATATTTGTTTGAGTTTGGGTAATATTATCTAGCATAAGTGGTAGTATCGGTTTATTCATTAAGTTTTGGTTTTGAGTATGGATTTTGATGAATGTAGGGTACCCTGCCAGAGGAGTGGTGGCATCAGATTCACAATCAATGGTCATTCTTACTTCAACCTAGTCTTGATCACCAATGTTGGAGGTGCGGGCGACGTCCAAGCAGTTTCCGTCAAAGGTTCAAGGACTGGTTGGTTACCCATGTCCCGAAATTGGGGTCAAAATTGGCAAAGCAACGCTGATCTCGACGGTCAATGCCTCTCTTTCCAAGTCACCACCAGCGACGGCCGCACGGTGGTCTGCAACAATGCTATCCCCACCGGTTGGTCATTTGGCCAAACTTTCACGGGTGGCCAATTCACTTGAACTAGTCCGACCCGTAGGGCTAAAATGGTCAATTCATCCAATTTATGCATTTGTTTCTTAGCATAGTAATTGCGTTGTAGAATGTGCAAAACGTTGTCTAATATTCGTACGTGCACCTACTAATGCAATAGTGTAGGGTTGAGTCAAAATGGGGTAGAGCTTATTTTAGGTGTGGCTCTAGCCATTTTTGGTCACGTGAGGTATGTATGGTTCTGTCTATAAGGGCAAAATTGGGTCCGTGGTAGGTATTTTACCCGACCCTTCAGTACTCTGTATTTATCGTATTGGAAAACGCAATTTGAATGAATTGACAGTTTTATCTGAAAAAGTTAAAATGTGTTCTTGGGTTCGGTGCGATTTGGAGCAGGCAGATTGTAAACCGTTAATGTAGTCTGATTTGCTATCTGACAATCAATAAAAGCACACTTCCCTTTGCTCTTAACGCGAACACTTTAAACATAAATAAAATTGAGTATTAATAAAAAAATTCACAAATAGTTTCACATATGATTATGGAACAGAACTTGACTAATTTTGATTCCATACTATAAGTTGAATCATGCTATTTATATAGACTTGAATCTAACTTGGATGGAAAATTGGATGGCTGTGGCATGTGGGCCATTTCGAAGATCGAAGGTATAGTTATTTTCAAAGTCTTAACTCAATGCACATGATTTTGTACATCTTTTTGCTCCAATAAATAAATAAATTAAAAGAAATCACTCCTCACTAAAGGGCTGTGAATGGGCTAAATTTGAATCGGGTCTAATCAGACCCTGTTATGGATAATGATAGCTTGAATTGGGTGTCGAATCTAACCAGGCCCATTGTTAAGGCCCAAACAAGAAAGTCTCTTCTAGTGGGCTATAGTCTTAGGTTGTTCTAGGGATGGTAAAAAAGCTCGCCGGCTCGGGCTCGAGCCGAGCCCCATTTTGGGGGGTCAGACACGGGCCGGCCCATAATTAATAAAAAAAATTTTAAAAGTTGCCTACGGCAGCTAAGGAAAAAAAAAAAAAAAATCGAGCCGACTCGACCCGCTAAGACTCGGGCCAAAGCTTGGGCTGAGCCTTTTTTTTTTTTGCCAGGCTTGGCTCGGGCCCGAAAAAAGCTCGAGCCGAGCTCGGGCTTTTTTTTTCCGGCTCGTCAACATAGCTAGGTTGTTCCATCATCAAGTGTACTTGTAATGGAATTTGCCCATACTCGCACGAGCACGAGCACGAGCCGAGCTCGTTGGAAATGGCTCGTTTCATTTTGGGCTAGCTCGGCTCGTGCCCGAGCTCGCCCAAAACGAGCAGCTCGGCTCGTCGGCTCGCCAATTTTGACCTTTTTTTTGGTGAAACGCTACTATAACTAAATCTTGAATTCAAAAAAATATATATATATATAGGGGTTCGTCAAAACATTTATAATTTTTAAAATAGTAAATATACATCTATTTAAAAAAAAAAAAAAGATAAACCCTCTTCCTTTATCTGGATTTGGGACCGGCTACTTCAATTTCGTGTAGGCGGAGTTAAAATTGTATATGAATAACTTTTTACGTGTACAATTTTTTAAAAAAATTATAGATGTATGAAAATAAAATTTTGTAATGAATGTAGTGAAATTAAATATCACTTACTTGATTACATGCAATTTCGGCATATTTATGTTGAATTC